ACATCATTTAACGAGAAAACGCTGTTCCAGTTCAGTTTATTTAAATCAGATAGAAAAGCATCATATTTGAAATCAGAGAAATCTCTGTATGTTTTTAAAAAAGGTTCGTGCTTAGGTTTAGTAATTTTTATTTTACAATGAACCAACTTATGGTCAGAAATGTCGTCCATGTTAAGTACTTCAGGGGAAGATACAACATCAGGTGAATTACTTATAATTAAATCAAGAAGAGTGTGGGAGACATCGGCCACACGAGTGGGTTCACGGATATATTGATACAAGCTATATCTTTCCAGAAAATTTGAAAAAATTCGGTAGCCATTACTGTTAGTGTTTAAAAGGTCAGTATTAAAATCTCCACCAAATACAATAAAGTCATGTAGTGGGATAACATTCATTAAACTATTCTCAAGTGATTGTAAACAAATATTTAAGTTTGCTTGAGGTGGTCTGTAAAGTGTACCCAGACATACTTTTTTGCCAAGCACACTAAAAGAAATCCAGAGCTGCTCCAAAGCGGCATTCGACTCACCCACACTACCCAGAACCTTATATTTTATAGATTTTTTTATGTAAAAGGCCACCCCACCACCTCTGCCACCGCGGTCACTCCGCTCCAAGACATAATTGTCTATGTTGAATGCCATACTAGGAATCTCGTGGTTAAGCCATGTCTCAGACAGTCCGATAACGTCCAGCTTTAAGTCCTCGATAGTAGAAGAGAAGGCATCAAATGACGTTCTGAGGGACCGAATATTGAAGTGACAAAATTCCAACAGTTCATTGTTTACCATTCTTACATTGTGCAAAGCTCCTAAAACTGATTAAAATATTATATATACAATTAGAGTGATTTAGGTAGGAAATAGTATTTATGAAGTCAAAAAAAAAAAAAAAAATTAATAAAAAATTGAGCATACAGAAAGAAAATTCATCAAATAAATTATTATCCATTTCAATATAATTTGTAAAATGAGAAACAGATAAATAAATAAGGCGCCATATAAAATAAACAAACTATTACCAATTTCTGCAATATCAACAATCTGTAGGTGCGTAGGAGCACCGACCCACTCCACCCACAAAAAAAAACAGCAAAAAAAAAAAAAAAAACAAAAGTAAAGGAATCCACTTTGCAAAACCGAACATTGATCAAGTGATAATTCTATACCTACCATGATGATAAATTCATGCCTAAGTAAATGCACCAGATTATTGGTATAATAATTATTAATACAGCATTGAACAGTGAAGCAATTAAAAATTGAACAAATGAAAGTATACATGTTAGTACAATTTGGGATCGCTAAGGTCCAATAAGCACTTCTTGTTTTCTTCCTGCTTCCAAAAGTATAATTTTCCTCCAGAAGACCAGGCGTTTGATTTTCCATACTTTTTTTTCGCAGAAATAAGCAGGTCGTACCTAGACTTCGTAAGGTCCTCAAAGATAGAGCAGCCTGTATTCTTTAGGATATTCTTAGCACTGAAGATTTCGTTCCTTTTCCAGACCAAAACGAAATTAGCCATTATAATTCTAGGTTTTTCCCCGCCCGATTTGCCCAGTCTGAAGGCACAGCTTACATCACCTCTAGAACAAGAAATATTGAGACGCTCTTTGATAAAGGAAACAAGGACGTCGATCGTATCTTCGTCTTCAGCTTCCTCCAAGCCATAGAATCTGAGTGAGTTTAGCTTGGTCAATTGATTGTTACTATCAATGGTCAATTTTACCGCGGATATCTCTTTAGAGTTGTTAATAATATCTGCTTGAAGGGACTTCCAGCATTTAGACATATCAGCTAGTTTGGAGTCAATTTTATCGAAACGCTGGTTTAGCTTGGCTTCAATCTGGTTGGAAAAGTTAGCACATACCTTGGAAATAAGCTTCTCCATGTCTTCACTGGACTCACTTAGAGTCCCAGCCCGAGTTCTGATGGTACCACTACCACCAACCATGATTGCGGCTATGTCGTCACTGCGGGACTAGCTGAGCAGAGCTTTTTAGTTTACTATTGTTTTACAAGATTGCCAGCGGAATCGGGAAGCTACGATGCTCCGCACACGCACAAACTATCCGACCAACGCACTTTACTGCCTTAACGGAATGGAATCAATTATTTCGCATTTAAAGTCACTCTTTTTCCCAATTTTAATGGAGCTACAACGACAACACTATTCACGCGCCATAAATATGAAGGGCGCTTTCTAAAAATGACATTAAAAATCCAGGTCCGTATTTTAAAAAATGCAGTTGATGATGGTAGCTCGATCACGAAACGTCGGATTTGAAATTTGAAGGTCCCATGCTGTAGAGCAAAAAAAATTATAAAACTTTCAAATTTAAATGGTGTCTCGAATATCAATAGTTTTCGAAATAATTGATGAAATAGTTTTGAGCGTTTTTTGGAAATCACCCTGTATTTCATGAACTAAAAGGAATTTGGCAACACTGTAATCAAATCTTGAGGGCATAAAAAAAGGCAACTTTTTTCTAATTTAACCGACCTTGTAGCTCTTACCGTTTCGGATATAGCAATAGTGGTATAACTTAAAATATACACCCTGTATATAGATGTCACTTCGTCATTGTCACTTTTTTCCCTTTAGAAATTGGTGCTACTAAATTTAAAATTCGACGTTTCGCCTTCAGACGGCCATCTTCAACTTACGTTTTTTAAGTACGGACCTAAATTTTTTATTTGCGATTTTGTCATCTTTGGGCATCCTAAACCCGATACTGTTTATAATTTTTTAATAACACGGTAAAAAAAGCAGGTCCGTATTTAAAAAATAAATAAATTGATGATGATTCCAGAGGAACGAACGAAACGTTGGATTTCAAATTTAATACCGCCATCTTGTAGAGAAGAAAAAGTGACAATGGGAATGTGAAGTTAGTTTTTCAAAATCTTTTTAAATGGAATCAGGAAGAAATTTAAGAAAAACTAGAAATTTAAGTTTTTTCCGTATAGTTTTCATTTTTTCCTGAATTTATTTAAAAAGATTGTGAAAAACTAATTTCACATTCCCATTGTCACTTTTTCTTCTCTACAAGATAAGGTTATTAAATTTAAAATCCGTTTCGTTTCTCTGGAATCATCATCAATTTATTTTTTTTTAATACGGACCTGCTTTTTTTACTGTGTCATTGAAAAATTATAAACAGTATCGGTTTTAGGATGCCCAAAGATGGCAAAATCGCAAATAAGAAATCCAGGTCCGTATTTAAAAAAAGGAAGTTGAGGATGGCCGCCTGAAAACGAAACGTCGGATTTTAAATTTAGTGGCACCATCGTCTAAAGGGGAAAAAGTGACATTTATTTTAAAATTGCTCCTCAAATAAGCCCAGGAAAAAATAAAAACGATTTTACAAAATTTCGTTTTTTTCCGAATATCTCCTGGAGTGTTCGGAATCTTTTTAGCAGTGTTGCCAGAATTGAAGGATTTCCTTCAATATCAAGAGTTTTGATCTAAAATTGCGACTACTGAACGATTGAAGGTTTTTATTCGAATTTGAAGGATTTTGAGATAAATTGTATATTTAGTAAGTATTCCAATCATTTTACCAACAAATTTAATTTTTATTACTGAAAATATAAATTAATAAGTTGCATGAGAAAAAATACGAAACGCCAATTTTCGCTACGCCCGCCATTGCGTCAGAGTTTATGAATAAGGCCGTGTTTATGTTGGAGCTGTGATAAAAGATAAAAGCAACGATAGCAATGATACTATACATTAGTATCGTTGCTTTTATTGTGTATCACAGCTCCAACATAAACACGACCTAAGCCTTCTAAGGCTGTGTTTATGAAGCGGAGCAACGAAATACAATGCCTATGTTTCCACGCAGGTGTAGGTATGTTGGAGCGGCGAGTAGAGCACCCTTTTTTGATACTTTTGATAGGATACTTTTGAATAGCTCTTATCACTGCTATTATCGACCCTTTCATAGCTTTTATCACAGCTCCAACATAAACACGGCCTACCTAAGTGATTAAGGCTATGAATATTTTGTTGTTTTTTTTTTCCATTTTTATTAAAAGAATTTCGTTCATATTATAGTGTTCTTTTTTTGGTAAAATATTTCGTTATGCCGGCCACCTGCCACTGTTTTGAAGGATATGAAGAGTTTAAGCCACTTAGTTGAAGGAATGTCGTCGAAAAATTCTGGCAACACTGCTTTTTAGTTTCAAAACAGCACTCTATTGGTCATAAAATTGCGCAACTTTGCCATAATTTAACCGATTCTGTATCTCTTATGGTTATTGAAATCCCAATGATGAGGCTCGAATTTGGGCCACCCTGTACTTTTCGTCACACATTCGCGTGCGGCAATGAAATAGTACTTTATACATTCAAAAAGCAAAAATAATACAAAAGATAGTAATTTTTTATAGATAAAAAACTCTTCGACTTTTAAACACACACACTGGAAATTTAGATATGTTTGATAATTTTGTGTTTGTGGGAATTCTTTATATTCTGCAAAAGTTATAGGATAGGGTAGGCCCCAATACCAGTAACAGAGCCTATGATAATAGTTAGATTTGATATATTTAATTGCAAACAACTAAATCAAATACATACTAAATTTTAGTACTCTCTAGTTAAAAATGGAATAAAAAAGCAAGACTGTAAGACTCTTGCATGCTCGGTCTTGGTCTTGCAATATTAAGTCTTGGTTTTGCATAAGTCTTGCACTACTCGGTCTTGATCTTGGTTTTGCAGTCTAATAGGTGGTCTTGGTCTTGGTATTGCTTTTTCTGTAAGACCAAAACCAGTCTTGCTCATCACTAAACTCAAATATTCTTGTTTTGTATCACCAAGAGAACAAACTATTTAACATAAACCAACTGGGAAAATGAGTGCAAAAAAATTTCCGTGCCTCCTGGACTATATGTATAGATTTTTTTTTTTTGAAAAATCACTAAAGAAGTATTCACTTCAAAAAACTATCGATTTGTAAAATTTAAAAATATTCTGTTTTTAACATATTTATTACGAGTAAATGATTGACAATATTTTACAAACAATCAAACTTAATATTAATTTAATAGGTAGGTACCCAAATCATCTTCAACTTCAGGTATAGTAGAAAACGTAAAAAAATAAATTCTATTATAATATATTCTTCAGCTCAATAATTATTGATAAACAAAAGCTATTTTGCTCAAACTGAAGATCTCGGAATAATAACTTTAACGTTTAATATAGTAACAAATTAAGAACAAGAACAACTTACAAACTAAAAATCGAATTTTAGGTTATTTTTGCAAAATCCTTCTGCATCTTTACTAACATTGGTGTATTGAAGGCAAACACCTTTGTATATTTTTCTTATATGTGAGGATGCTGATGTCTTTTTAATTCAGGTATATGTTATTGACGACTGGAATAAATATGTAATACCAACCACCTATATGAGATTTGATGATCGAAAAAGAAAGATGAGATTCGTTTGGGAGAAAACAAACATTTGAAACACTGTTGAGAATCCACATATTATACCCAAAAAAGAGAAATATCACATTGACAGCAGCATTCACATTGAAAGCTTAAATAAACTATTTAATGCAGCCCTAACAAATATTAGAGTGGATATTTGTAAGGCAAAAATAACCTAGTCTAAATTGGTCTTTTTAAAGATATGGCTGCCAACCTACATACAGCCTACACAAGTTTCGGGGATCCTTGGCTTGCTGAATTAAAACGCGGACTTGTTGCTCAATACTAATAGGTTTTTGTTCTTCAGTACCTTGCAGTTTGTCTCTCAGCTTCAATAGAGCCCTTTCTGCCGATATATTTTTGCTTTCTAAAAGTATTCTATCTAGGTAAAAGAAATAATTAAAGTTATCAATAATTTTACCTTCTTCAGAGTCTTCACTATAGGTGCTATCAGTACTGTCATCATCAGTTTGACGTTTCTTAGCTTCAGCTGCTGAAACGGTCCAAAAATACAGTGGATCGTAAAGCAAAACTTCCAGAATCGTTAAAATTGTTTGCGAATTTGATCTTAGGACTTCCAGAGTTTTTTCACAGGATTTTCTGAACAGTCCTTCAGTGCCCGAGACACCCATACCGTCCACAATGTCACGGGATAATCTAAATGGGATTGTTTCAGGTGTTGGTAGACATTTGCCCTGATCAAAAGCAATTCCTGCAAAAAATTAAGAATTACGAAAAATAGTTATTTTGAACTTATGTAGATTTACAAAATAACTTACCAAAATCAATATGAATCACCTCAGCAGTTTGTTTGTCGATCAAAATATTGCTCAAGTGTCTATCCCCGATGCCTAAAATGTAACCGCACATACTCGTCGTGGCCACACTGTGTATATAAGCTCTCCTCCTTTCGTACCACACTGAGGGTTGACGGAAGTTTGTCTCGAAAAATTTATGGAAAACTGGACGAAAAACTTGGCATATTGAATTGTAAACTTTTAGTTTTTCTTCTAACGGTTTTCCTGCACAATTCTAAAAAATAAATAATATAGGTCTATAAACCTACCAGTCCCAAGATGGGAAAAAACTTCGGAAACTATATAATAATTAGGTGCTTTTTAGGTGCTAATTAGGGCCTCTGATTAAAAATTAGGCGCTCCTTTAGTTTTTGAGAAATCAAAAAAAACTAAGGGACTGCTAGATTTATAAAAGCTGCAGTCCCCTATAGTAAAAAAGTATTTTTACTTTGTATTAGAATTAGGTGCTTTTTAGGTGCTCCTAAATAGTCGATGAAAAAATAGAATTGATTAATTATTAACTAAGTTACAGATTTTTTTTTTAATTAGGGGATTGCTGGCTTTACGTTTACTTGTTGGTGTGTCAGAACGGAAAATAACTCCGGGATCTATATAATAATTAGGTGCTTTTTAAGTGCTAATTGAGGCCTCTAATTGAAAATTAGGTGCTCCTTCAGTTTTTGAGAAAATCAAGAAATACTAAAAAAATCTGTAACTCAGTTAATAATTAATCAATTCTATTTTTTCTTCGACTATTTGGGAGCACCTGAAAAGCACCTAATTTTGATACAAAAGAAAATTTTGGAAAAATATTTTTTACTATAGGGGACTACTAGCTTTCATAAATCTAGCAGTCTGATACGTCATCCACCGTGGGGCACCCTGTATACAGGGCGTCAAACTTTGTGAGAAAAATCATTTTTTACATTAATTCTCAGAAGTGCGAGCGTTTTAGAAAAAAAGTTTTTTTTTACTACTAACCTGAGAAATAGACATTATTCAATCTATTTTTCTAAGAAAAAATTGAATTTCTCTCCTTAGGTTAATAATGAAAATAATGATAAAATACCTAGGTCAATAATGAAAATGACGTCATGACGCAAGGATATTGTTATGTTTCTATTGGATCAATTTCAATTTCATACGTCAATTTGAAAAAAAATACAGGTTTCTGTAGGTACATAGGAAGTTATATAAGCTGTTGATAGAGGGCAGCACTTTCAAGAGGGCGTTCACAAAAAAAAATTAGAACACAGATTTTAAACAATTTTTTTATTTTCTACTAGCAGTAGTAAAAAAAATTCTATATATTCCGCGGTAGAGAAAGTCATTATATACCTCAAACATTATAAACCTCGGCGCTGCGCGCCTTGGTTTATAAAAGCTTTCGGTATATAATGACCAACTTCTCTACCTAGGTATATAATATACTATTTGTTTATTTTTAAGCAACAAATAGCCTGGTAAAATTTCAGGTAATTCTGTGGCAATTTATTTTTTATTTATGGAGGTCAGTGCCGTTCGTGGTTAGCCTAAAATGGTTTTTAAATTTTATCTCGAAAACTAAGCAGCATACGGAAAAAAATAAGGAGATAAAAAAGTTGTATCTTTAAATGTTCTATTGAAAAAAACATATCTTAATTGAAAATAAATCTACTGGACGATGTTTTTCGTGCAAAAAAACCATCTCACAAAACCTGTGGCACGTCCCTGGAATTACTGGGTCAACTCTGAGCAGTCTAAAAGATACCTCATAAAGGTGTCAACAAACTATGAAAATTTCATTTAATTCGTACAACGCATTTCAAAGAATTAATAAAAAAAATTGGCTTTTTTTTACAAAGTTTAACACCCTGTATCTGAAAAGTGAAGCATTTCCGGACAAATGTTTATTAAGAAAAAAGCTTTATTTTTACGAGATCTACCATCCCTAGAAGTTTGTAACAAGCCTTTCGTGACACCCTATATAGATCCAAAAGTTTTTTTGCCATTCTGACACACCAACAAGTAAACGTAAAGCCAGCAGTCCCCTAATAATTAAAAAAAATCTGTAACTCAGTTAATGATTAATCAATTCTATTTTTTCTTTGACTATTTAGGAGCACCTAAAAAGCACCTAATTCTGATACAAAGAATAAATTTGAAAAAATATTTTTTACTATAGGGGACTGCTAGCTTTTATAAACCTAGCAGTCCCTTAGTTTTTTTTTATTTTCTCAAAAACTAAAGGAGCACCTAATTTTTTATTAGAGGTCCTAATTAGCACCTAAAAACCACCTAATTATTATACAGGGTGTCCGGTAAGTATATGGCACACTCTCGGGAGCATTCGTCGCTGATCTGACAAAGGGGCGTAACGGTCAATTATACCGTATTGGAGTTAAGGTCGCCAAGTGATTTCTTAGAGTTGTATGTATGATCTGACAAGAGGGTGTATGCTCAAAGGTATTACTTCTCTCTATACATAAAATCAGCTAAGGGCTTAAGTACACAGCAATTGCATTTAGGATCTGACTAAAAGGCGTATATCCAAATATTAGACTTACGCCATTTTGTTAGATCCTACATTGCGTCTTTTCGAAAACGCTGATCTGATTAACCCGATCACCAGCTTTTTGTTTTTCATCTTTCTTCAATAAACGCGATTGATAAAAGACAATAGATAGAATTAGCGTTTCCGAAACTTTCTTTCTCAAGAAAAATACCCTAAATGCAATAACACGTCCTTTACAAAAATGTAACAAGTCCCTATAGTGATAGTGTGGTCAAATTTTCAGTTGGGGTGGAAAAAATTGAAGACAAGGGCTTTTCAACGAAAATGTATTGTTTTTAGGTATAGTCATTAATGACATACTAAAAGTCCCATTAAATCGAGCATAAAATATTGCAATGGCAAGTGAGAAAAAAATGGCCACCATTTTTAGTTGAAAACCTAAAATAATTTCTTCAAAAAAAAAAAAAAACAAACTATAATTAGATCTTATTCTTCATTTTCGTATCAAGTAAGTAAGGTATGTGTTGTTTTTCAGTTGGGTTTGTTCACTTCAAAGCTAGTGTGACTTGAATTGATTATTTTGGCACAATTTTTATCCCTCAGATTGCATTTTCTAACAGTTTATCATGAGTTGGATAAACCGGGCTTTGAAGTAGTAAGCGCAAGCAAACGATAAACGATAAATAAAAAAGAGGGACATACTTTTGCGAATGGAAAACAGCAAACAGATCCAATGATTCTTTAGAATGAAGATCTACAAGTCCTATTCTCAAGGATGACAACCAACTCAACAGACATTTTTGAGGATGAGAAACCACACAATAAATTTATCAGAAATTCTTTTAATAAATGAGAAACCAAACAACAGAGATCTTCAAGAAAGAACAACAGCTCAACAAATATTGTTGCAGATGAAAAACAAACTAGCCAAATTCAACGGGGATTTTGATTCTTTGAGATTAGGAAACTACGACAGATTCAACAGAGATTCTTCAGAATGAAATAATGAAAAACTAATATCAGATTCTAAAGAATGTCTATCAAGACAGACATTTTTGAGAATTAGAAACCTCACCAATTAATTCACCAGAGATTCTGGAGAATTAGAAAACATTCAACAGAAATATTTGAAAATCAGAAACCAAACAACAAATCTACCAAAGATTCTTGAAAATGAGAAACATCCAACAGAGATCTTTAAAAATGAAAAACAGCTCAACAGACATTTTTGCAAATGCAGATTTCACCATAGAGACTCCCATTCGTGAGTATTGATATCGTATTAGTAGGCATTTATTTATTGACCGATTTATAGTCATGTCAGTGTCTCAAACAACATGACATAGATTTTTTGGATCCTAATTGCAAATCAAATTTCAAACTTTGTAAACTGAATACAAAATATAGAGAATATTTCAAAAAATCAATACACTGACCAAATGTACTTAACTTGAAAGTTCCCAAAAAATCCAAATGTTTTGAAAGTAAATCTAAAAACTTGAAAAATTCACAATTTTGGCGATTTTTCAAAACTTGCCATTGTCTGATTGGATGGGACTTCTAGTGTTTTATTTGGGACACCCGTCTCTTCAAATTTCCACCATTAAGCGTTTGTCATTAATTTGTTCCACCTTATTCCCGAAAATCTACTAATTAAACTCAAATTCGAAAAATATAAATGTCTTATGAACCTTTGTAAAGGACCAACACCACTAGTGAAGGACCCAACTTTTCAAAAATATTTTAGAGATCTTCCTCACGAAAACTAGTGTTTAAGTTATTTGAGTACCTACTTATTTAAAACCTTTGTTTCCGTATACTTCGAATCTTATTTTATTCTTCAATTTTGTTCCCTGTTTTTTCTAGAGTATGTTAATTATTATAGAATAAAAACTATAAATACAAAATTGGCAATAAATATCAGACTGGCGTATGTGTCTAAATTATTTTAACGAAGATCTTACAAAGGGGCGTATGTCCATTGGGTACTAATTTTTCTATGACAGCTAAACGATATGGAAAATCTGTTGTAATAGCCTGAAGCTTTGACAATTTATCTGTTTCAATAACTATCTGTACACAAAAAAAATATATATCTGAACAGAGTGATAGCTTCTTAATTAACAACCCTTTTTTCAAATGACAATCCTGTAAAATTATCTATTTGTACCTTACGCCCCTTTGTCAGATTAGCGACGATATAGTAGGGGTCAAAATAACCCTACTTTGTTCTAAAAAAAAACTCCTAAAGTGCCCCTTAACGGAGATACAGAGCCCCAAAAGAGTACTTGGCGATACACATTGTTGGCTCTAACTTTTGAACCGATTTGTATAATTTAATGAAGTTTTGATATTTTATGATGGCCATAAAGACTCATAAAATCGTCCTACAGCAGATGTTTCACATAGTCTGGGAAGTCAGGAACGGACTTGCCACCATATTCATTTTGACAAATTTTTGACAGGAGTCATTTTACACAGCTGAAAACTGATTTTTTAAATACTTTGGTAATTTTTCTTCAAAAAAGGTACTCTACATTTGTTTCGATTAAATCAGCCGTTTCCGAAAAAATTAGGTTTTTGTATATGCACCTTCAATCATTTCCCTTAGAAATTTATTTAATGATTAAGTTGATTCTAGATTAAGAAAAACAGGTGAAAGTTGACTTATAAAAAGTACCTTTTTATGCCAAAAAGGGTCGTTTACAGGTACTTTTTATAAGTCAACTTCTATCTGTTTT